TGGGCAGAAGAATTATGAAACTTGTCCAGTTTTAAAATATTTGGGAAAAGAGTCAGGATTGGAATCCAAGGCTCATGGAATCCAAGCCAGTTTATTTTCCCTAGTCTGTCTGAAGTGTCCCACACACTGATAGGACATGCTATTGTCTAACACACAGCCGCTCTACGTCTCGAAGAACAGATAGCAGCTAAGTTACGTACTGTGTGTGGCCATCTCCTCCCAGGTATATGGTAAGTCTGGGGGCATGTGCAAGGTCAGAGTTGTCCAGTTCACTCTCACACTGTAATCCAACCTACCGCCAGTCACTCCTTCCTTCCTGTCTTTGTTGCGCTGCCAGCCATTCCAACAGGCCGAGTCCAAGCACATGGGCGCCTGGCCAGAAAGTGACTAACACCATCTCGTGTGCCCAGACCGCATACAGAAGGCAAGCAGCTCCGTTTTTAAACCTTGCCGGACAGGTTGGTATCAGTAACTTCAAACTACAAATGCTCCTTTGTTTTGTAAATCAAGTAAAGGATGATTGAGAGGGGACAAAAAGGGCTCAGCCTGTGAAGAGCCAAGGCTTACTGGGGCAACTGTGACTCAGCTTAAACCGGCTTCCAACGACTTCATTTGAGAAAGTTTCTCATGTTTTTGTCAACCAATTCAACTTTTACTGCCATTTAACTTGAGGCTCCTGATGGGGAAGAAAGTACTGCTTTAAAACGTTTTTTTTTAAAAAAAGATCCTGGTCAGATTAAAAGCATACATTGCTTCTTCTCAACCTTTTGGCTATGATCAAGTGTAAAAATATACATGTATGTAGGCTCAAACTAAAAGGAGAAGTGCAAGTATAAATGTGGCTGTATTGGAATGAAAGGATAATTCCTTTCATTTTTAATGTATTATATATGAGCTATAAATATAAATATATATCATGTATTCATAATAAACACATAATATGTGTTTACATATTATTCACATAGCATGTATGTTATTATTTTTGTTTCTTTGAGATGAGATCTGCTATGTTGTGTAGACTCGCTCCAAATTATTAACCTCAAACAATCTTCCCACTTCAGCTCTCATGTAGCTGGGACTTACATAGTGTATTTTTACATTTTTAATTTAAAACTTTAAATAATACATATTTCTTTTTTTTTTTTTTTTTCCGGTACCGGGAATCGAACTCACGACTACCTGCTTGCAAGGCAGGTGCTTATGCCGCTGAGCTAAATCCCCAGCCCCAATAATGCATATTTCTATCTTGACAGGCTACATCTTTTGGATTTAAATAACTAGAGTTGTGGTAGCTTGGTTTTTCGGTGTTTGTGTGTACCAGCTAAGACTAGACTGTAAACCACCTGAGGGCAGGAACTTGGTCTGGTTTAAAAGTTTTGTCCTAAATATCTGACCTCAAATACTCCTGGAAAGTTTATTGAAAACATTAATAGATGTGCCCTGTGCCAGAGAGCTGGTCGAATTGTAAAATTTCTGGATTTTTGCCATCTTCCTGATAGTGCTCAGAGATAGGGTGTTAGTGTCTCTTACAGAACAAGATGGGTTCTCTGTGTGTGTATCCAGTTGCCCATATGTGCACACATGTGCACACACACACAGAGCAGGAGCTCTGGCAAACCTGAGAGGTGAATCCTGGCTCTCAGCTACTTTACAGAACTTAAAGCATCAGTTATTGTACTACTCACCATTAGTGTAATCGGAAAACTTAGTTTTATTGTCTTTTTAACCCCAGCCCAAAAGCTTGGAGGCCTCCTGCGAGGGTACTGTAATGCCTTTCAAATTGGACACCATACCCACTGAGTGCAAAGAATAAATAAATATAAGATGTGATCAAATCTATGGTGCCTGTTTAAATTTTTAAAAATTATTACAGTAAAAGACACATTGCTGTTAATCCTCCTCAAGATACTCTATTTTTTAATATACTCACACCATCATTCTTGCCATTTCTGAAACAGTTAACAGTTTGAGTTTACTGTAATTCCTGTCAAAAAAATCATTATAACATGTCCTTATCTACCTTATTCACTGGATTTGGCACCATGCGACTTTTGGCTCTTCCTCAGAGTCAAAATACCATGAAAAGTAAACACTTTGAATTGTGAATTGATTCAGAACACTGAGGCAGACATGACAACACTACTAAAGATACTCATGAAAAAGGATTTCCAGAACTGCTTCAGACAGTGATAAGAATGATGAGTAAGTGTGTTCGAAGGGAAAAAGAGTATTCTGAAGAGGATTCATAGCAATGTCCTTTCCTATATATATGTTTTTTATATTTTATATTTTTACTATACTTTTTTAACCACACTACATATTTCACTTACTTAACATGAAAAACTTGATCTTTTTCCTGTACCCTGCCCAGAGAATGGAAGAAACTTAGGATGGATCTTCCAGATCAAAAGATAATTGTCCAGGAAACTAACCATGCCTTGAGAAAAGATTTACAGATCTTTTCATGCATGCTCAGGATTGAAGAGCCTCATGCATGCTAAGCATGCATTCTAAACTAAGCTACATTCCTCAGCCCAAGGTATGCAGATCTGATAGCTGAGGTCACCTGTTGAAATGGCCAGATTTCCGCATGGTCATTATTGGCAAATCTGTCCCATAGTCCCACTCAGCCTCAGGACCTTCCTAATAGGAACAGAGATGAAAGGACACGGGGTACTTGATGAACTCTTTGCCATGAGCATGTCAGACTAAACGCAAACACAAACCTCCCCTCAAAGAATCATCAGTACATTAAAAAGCTAGAGTTGATGGCTTCAAAGATATGATCGTGCATTAATGAAAAAGGAAGTTTTAAAGGGAAAATCTATATAAACAAAATTCCTCCATTTAAGTGGCTGTGGAAATGAAAAGCCTGGAAAGAGAGATAAGGCCAAGTGGAAATACTTCAGAAAGTAAAAACAATGGTAGAAAAGGGGACAAAAAAACCAGAGAATGAAGCTGGGCATGGTGGTACAAGGCTGTAATTCTGGCATTCTGAGGCCGAGACAGGAAAATTAGAAATTCAAGCCATCCTGGAGAAATTAGCAACCTAGAGAGACCCTGTCTCAAAATTAAAAAATAGCTATGAATGTAGCTCAATATGAAGGCCTTGGGTTCAATCCCCAGTACTGCAAAAATAAATGAGTATCAGTTACAGACAAATCCACAACAGAATTTCCAGAGATGAGATTTCTGAGTGCACTAGACCTATGTAGATTTGGGTAGTGGGACCCTCTGATCTTTATTATCTGATCTACGTTCTTGCCTTTATCTCAGACAACTGGAGAGAACTTGGGACAGAGATTAAAATACGAACTTCTGACTCCTTCATGATTCCATCTGAACTGTTAAAACTGTTAGTTTAACTTCCTGCAAGTTTAACTACCTCCGGGTTAAGTCTTTCTGCAAAGTGCAACACCTAAGCTACCTACAGGAAAAGAACAAACAATGGTGCATAGACCAATGGTCAGCAGATGTTTTATATAAAGAATCAGTAGTACCTGAGTGTAGTAGCAGGCACCTATAATGCCAGAATCTTACAAAGGGTGAGCAGGGGGAATCACAAATTGGAGCCCATCTGGGCATCTCAGTGATTTACCAAGATCTTGTCTTGAAATTAAAAAAAAAAAAATTAATGACTAGGGATATAGCTCACTGCAAAAGCCCTGACTTCAATGCCTAGTACTGGGAGGTCAAGAGAAGAACCAGATAGTAAATATTTTCAGGCTTGTACACTGTATGGTATCTGTCTACTGAGTTCTGCCAGTATACGCATGAAATGCTGTGATCCAAATCAAGATCTAATGATGATGGCTGTGTTTCAATAAAACTTTATAAAATGGACAGTTAAATTTGGCCTACAGGTCATAGTTTATGATCATTACCTAAAATGTCCTATCAGTGTCCTATCAGCGGCCTTAATAACCTTTAATGGAGTGCAGACAGTGGTAAGGATCAGACCCAGAGAACAACACTTGCTCAGCAAGGCTGTACCACTGAGCCACACCTCCAGTCAGACCAATAGCTGAAAGCCCTGGACCTGCAGAATCAGCATCACCAAGGGATACATAGACGTAGGTCCTAAATTGGTGCAGTGCTACCTGTCTGTAATTCCAGAACCCTAAGAAGCTGAGACAGGAGGATCACAAATTGGAGCCCATTCTGAGTAACTTAACTAAGACCCTGTCTCAAAAAGAAAAAGAAATAAAGGCTTTCAGATTCCACTCAGACTGGAAAGCAGTTCTGTGCAACATACTCCCCAGTGGCTGATAAACCTCAAATGAGAGAAAATCACTGCCCTAAACCTCTGATAACTGCATTTAAAAAAATCATGCTCAAGCTCTTTGAAGGATTTTGATCTTCTGGTGATGATCATCATCTTAGAACTTGTCACAGTGTCAAGATACTAATTGCCAGAGGAAAAAAAGCTAAACCATCACACTGGCCCTGTGGCACTGAGATATTGTATCTCAAGTTCAGGCTTGGGTAGATGATTACAGACATTGACCATTTGACATTGAAGTTGTTGCTTTAAGATCTTTCACACAGCCAGCCAAATAGTCTCAAGAGGTGAATGCCATGTAGCTTTAAGACACAAAGGGTTTAACTGAATTTTTAATAGAGAGGTATGTGAACTAGCTGTCTATCACTATGACAAATGCCTGAGATAATCAGTTTAGGAAGAGGAAAGATTTATTTTGGCTCCTTTTCAGAAGTTTAGTCCATGGTCTCTTGGGCCTGCTGCTTTTGGGTCTATGTTGAAGCAGGGCATTGTAGCAGAAGGTCTTTGCAGATGAAAACTTTTGACGTGATGGTGGGGGAGAAGCAAAGAAAAAAAGGCAAATGCCATAGCTCCAATATCCTCTTCAAGGGCACAACCCCAATTACCTAACTTCCTTGCCCCTCCCAAAGGTCCCACTGTCCCTCAGCGGTGCCACCGACAAACTAACAAGTCTCTACTTAGATATGGGCTACTGGGGGACATTTAGGATCCAAAGCATAACAAGACGTGAACGTGCTCAACATTTTATTAAGTTTAAAAAACCTTACATTTGTGATACACTAAGAATTAGAAACACTGCTTCTCAAAGGACTTATCCTTTAGCACTGGCTTTTAGGTTTACAAGTTGTGAAGCGCCTGCGATTTTCCTGTGAAGAAATTCATGCATTCACAGTTGGCTTTGAACTGAGGTATGTATGTCAGTGTCTTCTTCCTTCAGGGAAGAATAGACATGGTTACAGCTTCAGGTTGGTGCTGCACATTGATTCCATAACATCCAATGTGGACTAAAATTTGTTCTAAATAGGACTTGAGTTCCTTCAGAGAGGTTGAGGGAGTATTTCTCAGGATGAACCTTATATGTCATTGTGTGTGTGGTGAAATATGCATAACCATCGTCACTGTTTTTAAGCAGATAGTTCAGTGATATTAAGAACATTCATATGGTTATTCAGTTATCACCATCATCCATCTCCAGAACTTTTTCAACTTGCAAAACTGAAACTCTGTCCCCATTAAACACTACCTCTTCCTTACCCTCTCTATTCAGCCTCTTAAGCCTATCATTCTTTTTTGTCTCTGAGTTTGATTGCTCAAAGGCCCTCATAGAAGTAGAATTGCACAGTATTTGTCCTTTAGTTACTGGCTTATTTTTAAATGTAGGTTTGACATATATAGATCACTGTCCTTAAAGTCAATACAAATCTAATTGGTATAGCTGTTTCTTCAGTTCAGAAGTCTATAACCTGGAGCTCTTGCATGAACCCAGGGATCTGATATCCTTTATGGGCTCTGTCTATTTATGAGGTTTCCACAGGAAGCATTAACCCAGGAGATGCTCATGACTGTACAAGGTCTTCTCTGCTCTGGGAGCATTCTTTTAGGCTCAAGCCAAAATTAGCCACCTCTAGTTAACCACTACCATCCACCTGGTTATACTGATTATATTAGTCAATCATATGGTTTTGTGGATGATTCAGATTTGACACCAAACTGAAAACTCGTTCTATAAAGTCTTAGTCCCAAATTTACCTGGCCAATTAAGAATCTGACCCTGCTTTTCTCACATAGAAACATGTACTGTGGTTTGAATATAGTTTATATGCATCGTACTCTTACCAAGGATTCATGTGTTAAAACTCTGGTCCCCAGAGGGGCTGGGGATTTAGCTCAGCGACATAAGCGCCTGCCTTGGAAGTATGTGGTTGTGAGTTCGATCCCTGGCACCAACAAAAAAGAAAAAAAAGCCCAAACCAAAACTGTGGTCCCCAGTATGATGGTACCTAGGGAATGGAATCTTTTTTGTTTACAAAGGAGGGTCTAGTGCCAGGTAGTTGGGTCACTAGAGGCCTCACCTTCATGTTCTTGAGGGACCCTGGTTATGGTTTCCATAACAATGAGTCCTTATAAAAAGACCAAGTCTGGTCTCTGAATCCCCACTACCTCCAGTCTTGCCATGTGCCTGCTCTCTCTCTTGTGCTCCTGTCATGATGTTATCCACCATGTTGTGAGGTAGCCAAAGGGGCCATCATCAGAGATCCAACAGATGGGGCTGTCCAATCTTGGACCTTGAGCCTCTAAAACTGTGAGCTACCTAAACCTCTTTTCTCGGTAAGTACCCAGCTTTGGGAACTTGGTTACAGCAACAGAAAATGGATGAATACAGTGTCTAATGTAAATCCAAATCAAAACCACTTCATTAAGATGGCTATTATCAAACATAAAATAACAAATGTTGGCAAGATGTGGAGAAATGGGCAACCTGTATAATGGGAAATGGTGGTACATGCACTATGGAAAATAGTATGGTAGTTCTCCAAAAGTTATTAATAGAACTACAATACTGCAGTTCTACTTCTGGATATAGATATATAATATAGATAAACAGATATATATATTTGAAAGAATGTCCAGATATTCAGTAGTGCCTCAATTCATAAATGCTTTTGTTATAGAATTATATATTCATATATTTGAAAGAATGTATAGTTATACAATAGTACCTTGGTTCGTAAATGCTTTTGTTGTAAATTCAATTCCTGGTACCAAAAAATAAATGAGTAAATAAATAAATAAGTAAATAAATGCTTTTGTTTGCAAACAATTTGGTTCTTAAACAGAAGTGTTTGGCAAAATTTTGGGTTTTTTTTTCCAAACTCTGCATCAGGTGACAAACAATCATGGCTATCTTAGCCACACAAACACAAATGTGTCCACCTTTTCCAAAATTATAAAACAAATTAAGTTTGTGAACTGAGGTACCATGTGCATTTGAAAAAATCGAAAGCAAAGCCTCTAACTGGTAGCTGTTCATTCATGTTCACTAGTGAATGAACAAATATTAGTGGCATTATTCACTACAGCCACGGGGTAGAAATAACAGAGAGGCCTATCAATGGATACATTATTTAAAAATACGGTATATACATCTAGTGGAATATTATTTTGCCCTAAAAATATTGAAACTCCTACATACCATAACATGGGTAGACTTTGCAAGTATTAAGCTAAATGAAAATAAACCACAAAAAGACAAGTAATATACAATTTCACTATGAGGTCTTGATAATAGTTAAACCCACAGGAACAGAAAGTAGAATGGTAATTACCACGGGTTGGAGAGTTGATGGTAGAGAATTTCGTATTTAATAAGTATGATGACAATGTTCTGGAGGTAGATGGATGGTGGTGATAGATGTACAATGTGACTTACTTAGGTCAATAAACCAGATACCAAGTGTCGTGGCTCATCCCTATAATCCCAGAATTCTGGAAGGCTGAGGCAAAAGGATCACAAGTTTGAGGATAGCCTGGGTAACTTAATGAGACTTTTGTCTCAAAACAGAAAAATAGCCAGGGATGCAAGTCAGTGCAAAGGCCCTGAGTTCAGTCTCTAGTAACATACACACACAGGGTTAAAATGGAAACCTTTAGATAGGATGGATGGGTAGAGAGAGAAATTTACCACCAAAAATTTTTTAAGACTATCTAATGCTATGTGACCATGTTTCCCTGCTCCGCAGGAAAAACAAAAACAAAAACAAAACAAAACAAAACAAAACGCTCAAGAAACCTTTGTAAAATTTATCCCCAAACACTATATTCTGAGAAGAAATAAAATGCAGAAAGTGGCAAGTTGGTTTTTCAAAAGTTGGGCCCCCTTGTGTGCATTCTTGGTAAGCAAGTCACTTTAATGTCATACTCTCTCCCTCCCCATTGTCCCCCAAGGGAGGCACATAAAGTACAATTTAAGCCAGTCACAGGGCATGCTCCCAGGAGATTAGACCAGCTTCTGCACACAGAGGCTGCCCATTCAGCAGGCATGGTGGGGACACCCAGCTAAATTCAGAGGAGGGTCAGGAGAGCAGGGTCCTGGTGGTGGCATGGCTGCGGAGAGGTGGCCCCTAAGATGAACAGGCACTTCTACTCACTGGCAAGTCACTTACCTCACTGAAGTGGCTCTCGATGATGTGCAGAGCAGCCGAGCTAACCTGAGAGTTCTCGTGAAGTTGTAAAGCCTCAATTTTATTGATCCCACCAAGTTCTTCTATCAGCAGACACAAGTTTTCCTTATCACTCTTTTTCTGTGGAACCTGGGAGCCGAGGGAGAGATGGTGAGACCATGGGCAGCCCCTGAGGAAGCCCTCATGGGAGCAGACCCCAAGGAGCTCAGACCCAAGGCTCCTGGGGGAGCAGAGGCACTCTTATAAAACAAAAATACTTATCTAAGAAATTTCATTATGCAAAATACAATGTTTCTGGACTACTAGCTCATAAAAGATTTTTTTTTTTTGCTGAATATATTACCATCTGCCAATATACATATCTCTATTGCTATTTACTAGATTCCCTCCTTTGATTCGGTACCGGGGATCGAACTCACAACCGCCTGCTTGCAAGGTAGGTGCTTATGCCACTGAGCTAAATCCCCAGCCCCTCCTTTGATTAATGGAAGTTGTTTTAAATACAGTTCAGAAGAATGTTTGAGTAATGTTATAAAATGCAAGCATTCTGCCCTGTACTCCCTGGAAAGTCTTATAAGTCAGGAGACCCTTAGTCACAGAAGCTACATGATGGCAAAGAGAGGAGTCCTTGGAACAAACAATCTGAGTAGATTTAATCCAATATGGATCACTGGTTTAATTATTGGAGGTTATTTATTCACTGAAATGTTTGTCCATAGTCTATGGGCAAGACACCGAAAGCTAGAGGTGCAGATGTAACTTAGAAAAGGTCTTTTTGTAACTATTGGGAACAATAAGTAAAATTGCTATAGTAATTGGTATGGTATAATTTATTTATTTATTTTTGTCTTTTTCGTTTTTATCGGTACCAGGGATCGAACTCACGACTGCCTGCTTGCAAGGCAGGCACTTATGCCGCTGAGCTAAATCCCCAGCCAGGTATGGTATAATTTAAAAATACCAAATGGTACACTATCAGGGATTAAATTATAGAAGATGCAAAGAGAGGCTTGGAAGTCGCACAGATCCTTAGTGAATGGGACTTGACAGAGCAGGATAGCAACTCTCCTGAAAGAAGGGACACTAAGGATGAAGGCTTGAAGCAGTAAGTGTTATATATTATGAGAGAATAATTCAGCTAAATCAGCATATGTAGGGAACATGGGGAAAGAGAAAGAAAGTACTCTGGCATCATATCCTGAAGGCCTTGGTTATTTTGTGTGCAGTAACAAAAGCCTTCTAGATCAAGTTTAAATGTGGTCTAAACCACATTGTTTACCTTGAATCAGTGATGAAAGTTTGAGCTACCCATCTAAGCCTTGATATAGTTCCATCTGTTTTTCCAGAATGAGTCACTGACTCAGGGTAAAGGAACCAAAGCAGGAACCAAGGAACCTTGGTCAGCCTCAGAAAGAAAACTCGGAACTGAGGGATAAACCAAAGCAATCTGAGCCCTGACAAACGGTCTTGCATTTTCATAGAACAGCCGGTGACCCGGAAGTTGTTTTATAAAGCTTTAGTGGCACTGTGCTGCCCACCTGCAGCTTTCTGCAATACCGCCTTGATCTTCTCCTCCACCCACTGAGCAGTGGTGGTGGACCTATGGCACGCGTGCCACAGCAGGCTCTCTGTATTATCAAAAGCTCTAAAATGTTTGCCATCACATATACAGGGGCTTCACTGGCTCATCCAATGTGATTTTTCAAAACAAAAATCCCATCTCTAATTCAAATGAAGCAGATGAAACTCCATTTCTATATCCCAGACCCACATTTTCACAAACTTTTCATGTCCAATCCTGTCTACTAGTTGCTGAATCACCATCTTTTATCAGTGTCGTTTGCTCAAAGTCTTGGGCTGTAATTGGGCTAGGTTTCAAATTAGATCTTTCTTTCCAAGATGGTTACATGAAAAGGATGTTCAAAGTAAGTTTTTAAAAGGAATTCCCTGGTGTTACTTTGAAGCTTTTCAAGTGGCTTGGCCACATGTAAAAGGAGCTTAATCAAATGAACACAGCCAGCCACCATGGCCTCTGATGATCACCGACTCCTGGTCCTCATTCCCTAATATAGCTGCCCCCTAGACTGAATAAGTTTGTCCTCTATAAGCAACACGGTACTGCTAGAATGACAGTGTGACCTCCAAAGCCAGGTCATAGAAGACATTGGAGCTTTCCTCAGATGGTTTGTTCTGACGGAGGAAACTGACCGCCATGATGTGAGGATGCTCAGGCAGCCCTTGGAGAGGTCCATGTGATGAGGGTGACTTGTCAGCCCTACAAAGGAGTCCCTTGAAAGCTGCCAAGTCAGAAGCATCCAGCTGAACAGGCTTGAGACTCCAGACTAAGAAACTGAGATTCATGTTTGTTTTAAATCACTAAGATAATTTCCTACACAGCAATACAGATCTCACAGAAATAGTATCTTAATATCAGTTTAACTTTATTTCAGAACTAAGACTTTTCTAGAATTCCAGCTCAATGCTTTGCGGTACTTTTCTTCAGTCACAGAGCTGAACTGAGTTGAAACTTTCTTGTGACCCTTCAAGATCGACCCATGCTAACTTCTTCTTTTTTTTTTTTTTTTTTTAATTGGTACCGGGGATCGAACTCACGACTGCCTGCTTGCAAGCAGGTGCTTACGCCGCTGAGCTAAATCCCCAGCCCCCATGCTAACTTCTTATTGCTCCTTCAAAGATCTCTATGTTTTAGCCTTCTCCACATGCACTGCTTAGAGGAGTCAGAGGCTCACTAGCTTGGATCCTCCTCAATCTCTCTGTTGGCTGCTTTGCCTTATTCAGAACAAGTCGGCATCCTCACGACCCTATAGGGCCTGGGTCCTGGCCCCTGGCTGCCTTCATCCCACCACTTTCTACCACACCCTTTTTTTTTGCTCTGGCCACACCCTTCCCTTTCGGTAGTCCTTTTGCTTAGAATATTCTCCAGATATCCACAGTTTCACTCTCTCAACTGGGGTGGTGGCACACACCTGAAATCCCAGCTTTGGGAGGCTGGGGCAGGAGGATCAAAAGTTCCAGCCCTCACCGAGAAACTTGGCAATTTGGAAGCTTAGTGAGCCTTGTTCTAAAATGTAAAACAAAACAAAAAATACGAAAGCTGGGCATGTAGCTCAGTGTAAGGGCTCTGGATTCAATTTTCAGTACCACTACCACAAGAAAACGAAAAAAGACTCCCTCTTTCAGATTTCTGTTCAAATGTTCCTTCTCTGGACTACTATATATGTACTTCTGTGCCTACTGTCCCCCTGAATGATTCGTGACTCCCTCTTTTTACTCTCTTCAGTATTGGAGATCAAATCCAGGGCATCTGCTATAACAATGCTTTTTATTTTTTTGAAACACCCCCCCCATTAAATGTGAAAAACACCTTGGAACAGCAGAGACAGACACAAAGGTTGGGCAGGAGGGCTGTATGCAGGGGTGTGTACTGTAGTTTTTATTTTGAGACAGGGTCTCACTAAGTTGTTCAGTTACTCAAGCTGGGCTCGAATTTGCGATCCTCCTGTCAGCCTCCAGAGTGCTGGGGTCACACATCTCCATGCGGTCAGTGAAGACCGTTTATCTGACTTAATTTATCTAGTACTCCTTCCACGCTGTGTCTGTCCTTCAACTCATGAACACATAAGCCCTGCTAGGACAAAACCTTTGTGCTGGTCTACTCTGAGCATGCAGGAACGTGCCTGGTACCAAGACCTCACTTGTGAAAATGAAGGTAACAGTCCTTCTGTGAGACCTCTTTTTGTGTTGCCCACAGGACATGAGGACTGGGAGAGAAGGGGGTGGGGAGTACGAGGACACAAAATCCTACTTGGGTTTCAAGAACCACATTAAACATCTTAAATTAGAGACTGCTGTTTACAAACCAACCTTTTGACAGCAGCTCACCTGGAGGATATAAGAGATGACATCGAGGATGATGAGGATAATCTTCGCCTCTGGGGCAGTGAGCAGATTCAACAGTGGCCCCAGGATCCCAGAGTGAATGAGCTGGAATAATTGGTCCGGGGAGGCCCCCGTTGTGAAGTTGACCACTGTCCAGGCAGCTTCTTTCTGAATTTTATACTTTCCCTGCAGAGATAGTGTTTACATTTACTACAGATCCTGGAGCACCTAAAAGTATGCTAACTTGACTCATTTTTTGAGGTAGGTGGGGGACACACGGTACTCTACAGACAATTTCTGTAGACTGCCTTGGTCTACAGAAGGTCTACCTGTCTTCCAAATGAGAAGAGAGCATCTGGGAAGCCATGAAACCAGCCAAGCAAGCAGTGGGGTCTTAGACAGACATTCTAAAATCAAGTAGATTCATTTCCCTCTGTCAATCTATTGGGAAAATATAACCAACATAAACCAGTCTAGATAATCTATGCAGACCAGGAATTATGCTTGGAATTACAGAAGACAGTGACCTACATCTATAACTCTAATCTTTCTGACACAGTAAAACTTTGGATAAATTATATAGCAGGACATAGATGAGATCTAGGAGACTGAGCCAACCTAGAGACAACAGGGAAAGATCACTGAAATATTGTTCAATGAATCCTTTACATTTATAAAAAGCACTTGGCCCAGAGATGTGGGCATAGTTTATCATAGATCTTTCTATTCCTGGGCAGAAGGACTTATTTTATGGCTGGGGAAAATTGGCCTCAGGGTAGAACAAAGACAAAAAAAAAATTTATGGCCCCAATCAAGTTCTAATTCAGAAGACATAGTTTGAAATATGAGTACTACCTGATTTATAACTGGATATTCCTTATTAGAAGAAGTACAGACTCATAGTAGAATATAGGCTAGAGAGAGCTGAAGAGATTGGAAGATGCCATGATTTGGGCTTCACACTGTCCTGCTTTTTCTACCTGACCCACACTGGAAACTTGTCCTCCAACCTCAGAACAGAGAAGCCAGAACCTGTCTTCCACAGGCCATGCCATCTGCTTCCCCTTCTAGCTCAAGGTGACCTCCATGACTGCAGATGGTTTAATGGTGACCCTTTCATTCAAAAGTAGTAAAAGGAAATACTGATGATAGTGATCACTCCTGGGGAAAGGAAGTAAGTATCTGGAGGAGGAAGGAACCTTTATTTTACTTTCTGTTTTTTTTTTTTTTTTGTCTTTTTCCTTTTTATCGGTACCGGGGATTGAACTCACGACTGCCTGCTTGCAAGGCAGGCACTTATGCCACTGAGCCAAACCCCCAGCCCCTCTTTATTTTACTTTCACATTTAAATTTTTCATTTAGATTACCACTTTAATCAATTTCATTTTTGTACTGAAAAGGTCACTTTTTCATTCTATGACATCATGGTGGCCTGGCTTTTCCTATTAAAGCAAGACCACATCTCTTCCTGCATAGTGAAGAGATGGCACGTTTTTTGACCACCCCATAAAGATAAGCCAATATTTACCAGCTCAAGATTTTTCTGGATGTTTGGGTTGTGGGGTCACCTTTTCAATGAACAAAACTTGTTTAATGAGCTCTTGAGAATGAAATTTCTCTTTCTGTTCCTAGACAGAGGCAGAAACCTACGGTTTCAGAGCTTTCTTATGGCTTTTGTTGTTCGTGGAGTATGCCACTTACATCTCTTAGCAGAGACACCAAAGGAGGCAGTAAATTATGAGTGATCAGCTCCTGGATTTGATGTCGGGGCCCAGCGGCTACGTTGCTCAGGGCCCAGGTTGCCTCCTTCTGGATGGAGGGCCGGGGGTGTTGTAGGAGCTGGGGCAGCACCTTCAGCATGCCTGCATCAATGGCCATCTGAGTTTGGTGATCTGTCCCTGCGACAATGTTCCCCACGGTGCGGAGAGCAGGAGTCTGGAAGAACAAGGTTGGAACTCAGTATCACAAATCTGTTGCAGTTAAAGGTGACAATCACACCTGGTTCTGTTCCCTTCTATATATTAGTTATACTATGCTGTTGGTTTTCTGGAACCACGTGGACCATAATATTTTATCCATGATCTTTGTTGAGTCAGCACATCTATGGTTGTTCTTATATAATGTTAAGGTACTTGCCAGTTTCCGAAAAGTTCTGGCTTAGATGATACAGAGGACAAGGCATAACTTCATCAGTAAATGAGATAGCACAGACCTGTCTTCCCAGCACTTGGGAGACCGAGGCAGGAGGATCGCAAGGTTGAAGCCAGTGTGGGCTATATCATGAGACTGTGTCTCAACAAAAAACAAAACAAAAAGAAATGCTTCTGTCCTTATTACATGGTTTCAACTGGGCAAAAAATCTGATTATAGTATCTATCATGTCATAATTTCTACTGATTGTATATTTAGCACTAGTATCAAGTTTCTGTTGTATATTTAATTTGAACTAATAAGATCCCAGTGGCATTTCTTGGCACAATCATGAACCTCTCAAAATAACTCTGAAGCTCACCAGGATGGGTCCAAGGTTGGACTTGATAACAACTGTCTTGGGAGAATTAGCCATGGATGCATTTGGGTTTCTCTGTACTAGAGTGGTAGCCCTTGGAGAAGCCCACCAACAGTTCTAGAGTTCTGCTAGCCTTTTAGACTAGCCTGCTACTCAAGTACATACCTGCTACTCAAGTGAGAGATGGAAAGTGTACAATAGTGCAGTATGTAGTTGGGTATATGTTTAATAACCTAGCAAATTGTTTAATGATTTTACTTGCTTAATAATGATTTTACTTCATTTTTGCCTATGTTTAGGTAATCCAAGAGCAAGTTGAAGACTGGGTAAGAGAAAGTTTTTCTTTAGTATCATGTAAGAAATTCAAATGCTACAATGAGTTACAAACACACACACACGCATTATATTATCCAACTTGTTTAAGTCAAAATGCACAGACCACTAAAAGGAAAAGATTAAGAATAGTTCTCTGCATTCTAGGATTATAAGCAATCTCCACTTGATACTTTTCTATACTTTTTTGTTATCAGATTAAGAATAAGTTATTTAACACTCACTAGAAGTTTTGATCAAAATAGATTTGAGTCCTTGGCCAAAAAGTGACAAAGACCAGGGGAACACAGATGACAAACTATGTTTAGGTAAAGGATTTGAGCCAGCTAAAGGATTAGAGTCAGGTGCAGGGCTATATAAGTGAGTTCATGGCCAGCTTGTACTAGATAGTGAGGCCCTGTCTCAAAAAAAGAAAGAAAGAAACAAACAAAAAGGATAGCACTAACTATGAAGTCCTAGAACCAGGGGGACAGGACCTGGTAAAGTGAATCTGACATACACACTCTAATCTGAAGGATCCAGGATAATATTTACCAAGACAGTGAATTCCAAGCTGGTCATGAGCTCTACCAGCCTGGGCAGGACTCCTGTGTCAACCACGAGGGCAATGCGCTCGTTGCAGGCCTCAGTGAGGTAGGACAGGGCCCAGCAGGTATCCGAGAGAATTTCACTATCCTGATGCTGTAGGAGGTGGCAAAGGATGGGCAGCATTTGCTTCACTGTCTCCTCTTGAGGGTACGGGTCCTTGTTCCGGCACAAGTTGGACAAGGTCCATGTGATGTTCCGTAGAAATGTGATCTGAAACAAGGAGACTGCTTCCAGCATCAGGTGGCAAGATGCATATAGTGTGCCCTTCTATCCTTGATCAATATTATTGATCAGCATGAACCAAAGTAGAGACTTGTTCTAGGCAGTGATGTGTATTAGGGACATAGAATGAGCTTTAAATTTCATATTCAAAGGTTAGATTGAGGTTTTTTTTATTTTCCAAAATATCTTTTCCTACTCAGTTGATGACTTGATTTCATTTTCTCATTAACAAAAAGATTGAACGGGAGAAACTTGGTCTTTTCACCAGGCTATAACCATCAACATGTCTTAATCATATTTCTGATCTTCTATTTAAAAATTGAACTCCCTACCATACCTCTAGGTCCCACCACTTTATGCTCTTAGAGACTTTATCCCTAAAATGACCTGTCTCCCCAAATCACTGCCATGAGTATGGAAACACACTCTGAGACCTTCAGCCCCTTCCTTCTGTCATCCCCTTGGCATCTCCCCAGCCACAACCCTAGGTCTGTTATGTTCTTTAGTCTTTTCCAAGGATTCCCCCTCTCGGTCTCTCTGTCTCTCTGTCTCTCTGTCTCTCTGTCTCTCTCTCTCTGTCTCTCTCTCTCTCTCTCTCTCTCTCTCTCTCTCTCTCTCTCTCTGTTTCTGTGTGTGTGTCTCTGCCTGTCTCTTCTTCTGGAAGTACTGGGGATTAAACCCATAGATGCTGTACCATCGAGTTACATCCCAGTTCACTTGTTGGTTCATTTGCTCTATCTATCTATCTATCTATCTATCTATCTATCCATCCATCTTATAGTATCTATGGCACATGTGCAACAGCAACTGTTTGTTATCACTGAAAATTCCAAAAGGTTCTCCATCACTGATCTAGAGAAGGGTCTTACTGCCTGAGATCGCAGGCAGATCTTGGACTTATAGTCCTCCTGCCTCAGCCACCCTTGGCAGTAGGGTTACAAGCATTCACCATTATGCCTAGTTTAAGAAGACAACTTTATGTACTGTCCACCCCCAGCTTCTCTTCAAGCCATCTTCATCTGGTGTCTGCCCTTACTTCTCTGTAGTTAGTGATGGAAACCAGATCCAACTCTCCTGATCCGACAGTTGCTTCTCATTTCTAAACTACTGTCCCTCTAGCTATACTGAGCAGTCAGCCACTCTCTTTTGAGAAAGACCTTCGTGGCACAGTCACACAAGACTTGGTTTTCTATTTGAATGAGATGTCTCTTCTGCATCTTCTTGGTAAGGCTGTGCCTGATCTCTTAATTTTACAGCCCCCAGGACTTCATCCTGGCCCCCTCCTCCCACCCTAGGTCAGGAATTGGCAAATGTCTGTCAAGGGCTATGTAGTAAACATTTTCAGTCTTGTATACTTTAGGGTCTCTTAGTGTAGATACTTATTAAAAAGTAATGGTTACAGATGTTAGGTAAATAAATAGGTGTGACTGTGTTCTCTAATGTGTTATTTACAAAACAAGCAGCTTGTCAGGTTACATTTGCCAACTTCTGTCCACTTGGCCTTGCCCAGCTGGATAACCCATGAACATTACAGTAATCTGGATGGGCATAGCTGTCAACCTGCCACTTCTGTCATGGCACCTCTAATGAACCTCAACATTTGTAAAAGAAACTCGATGCCTTTTCCTCCATCTTTCTCTTTTTCTGGGAGGAGGGTCATCTATACAACCTATTCTGAACCTTGGAAGCATCTTTGCTTCATTCCCATCTATGTCTGGCACAGCAGCCTGCTAACTCTCTCTGCTATGACCCTACCATAGGCAGCCAGAAAAATCAGACCACCTTGCTTCCTGCCTTGTCAACACCAAAGGCTCCTCTTTGCCACCAGGATGGTATCTAACCTAGTTATCACCACATACTTCTCTCTCCTTGCAAACTCCCTCAGTCTTGGTTAGCCCTTTTCTAGTTCAAGCATGCCAGGTATTCGCCCACCTGGAGGGCTGGCATTTATTCCCTTGGCTTCTCTCTATTTTTTCTGAAGCAAATCTAGAACCCAGTTCCTACATGTGAGTGTCCTGCAGTGTTACCAAATCATTCAACTCTGACTCTAAGCTTCAAACCTAGACCTTATTTCTCAGGAATGAAACTAAAGAGCCAATATGTCTGTCTTTGCTCTTTAGATGGAGAGCATGGCCATTTATGCCAGCAGGATGGTAAGCCTTGAAAATTTTAATGCACTTTGCTAATATTCCTGGAAGCAAGATTAGTACTACTGACCTATAAGGACAAATCTGGGTCAATCTTTACCCAAAATGATACTCTGTCCTAGACTTCTATCTATCAAAACAGGTCATATCTATCATAGCAGCCACATGCTTTAGCATCACTTTGGAAGTACTTCCCCCAATTTCTTATAGGTGAGAATTTGTTACCTAGCTAGCTCTTCTAATACAAACATACTCACTGGTATGGATGATGAAACCAGGGCTGACAGACGTGGGATGACATTACTGGAGATAACAATATCTCTGAATTTTGGGCCATCACCTGCAAATAGGTCAGTACATGATACTCAGAATAAAGAGACTATCTAAATGGGTGACTTTTTTTTAAAAAAAGAATTTATGCAAAGGATAAGAGACTAAGACTCATTCTTGAGGTTTTAGCAAGTAAACAAGAGAGCAGTGTATGAGATCCAGAGTCTCCAAAGTGTCTGTTGGGTGAATATTCCTGATGACAGTTGCCACACAGACATGACTGCTATAAACAGCAGCTGTGGACATGTAAAGGAGACAGCCAGTTTAGCCCAGGAGAGACATTATGAATGCAGACAGCATTTCACAGTATGGTTCTCAGGAAGACCTAGTTGGGTGCAGACAGTGTATCTTCCCAGAAGACTCTGGCATAGGGCAGGAACTTCCCAGTATAATTCAGAACAAAATTTAGGGATCAATATGGACTGGTGATAGACTATCTGCAACTTCAGCTAGTGTATCCACTTAAGATCCTAGCAATAAGTCTCAGTTTGCATACTTCAGCCATCATGCAGTGCGTAAGTCACATTATATTTTCCCGTCTTGCCTTTCCCTTATTGAACCAAGCAAAATGAGAGGCAACCTTTCTGTAATAGATGCATTACTTCTGCAAGCCTTTTAAAAGCAGTTGTTTTATAGTCTGTTTGCTAATTCTAATATCTGAAGTCATTAGAGCTCTAATCATATTTATGTTTGTGCTGACTCAGTCATAGTGAGTTGCTATTTCTCTGAACTTGAAATTGCTAATAATATCTGGCTGATCTTAATTTGTCAAAATCCTGAGGGGCTCAGTGCCCCCTCCAGAGAGTATTAGGATTTATTTTAGCTGGAAATGGGGGCTTTCAGCCCCATAACCCTCTCAATTTGTGCCTTCCCTGATCATACAGGGAGTTTTAAGGCTGCATTTTTAGGAAAGCATTTTTATCCCAAGTTCAGGAGACCTTTTTTTTTGTATGTTCCCTTAGAACTTTGAGTGGAAGTTTGTGTCCTTTTAGGGTCTTGGATTATATAAGAATCTATCTTGAGCCCTTATACTGCATGTGTTAATGACTTGTCTTTTGTTCCTAAAGCCACGAAGACCTGATATTGGCAGATGTCCCAAGGCAGCCTGTTGATTTACTATGTGCTGCATCATCGAGTTTCAGTTTCAAGTTTTGGTCTCTAAACTAGCTCTCAATTTTGAAATGGTCCATTGTACCTTTCCCAGCATTTATACTGTGAGGGGATCCAGAATATCAAGTATACCATGTTACTCCCCAAATTCCCCGCACCCTCTTCGTACTGGCCCACTGCTTTCATACCCACCAAGAGGAGAGTCTCACCGGCTATGTTACCTAGCGCCCACACTGCCTGCTCACACACAGTTGTACTGGGGGAAGACAGGAGCTCCACGAGGGGTGGGATGGCGCCCCCCTCCACAACTGCTTGGGTTTGATCTGAAGTCCCTGAAGCAATGTTGGTCAGAGTCCAGGCTGCCTCAAACTGCAAACAGGGGTGATGGGATGACTTTAGGAACTCCACTATCCTGGGGATGACCCCTGATTCAACAATCATTTTGAGAGGAGGATTCCTTTCCCGTGATACCATTTTCCTGTGCAATGGAAGAGAGCGGAGACATGGGGGAAGTGATCAGAACCTCCTTTTAGATGTTTTTGGCAGTCCTAACTATCAGATGAGACAAACAGCTGGGCCAGAAGTACTTAATATCCTTTCCTAGCCTGTAGCACTTTGCAGCAATAAAGCAACATTTTGCCCTTCAGGTATTATCTATGAGCTCAAATTCCTGTAGAGGCCAATGTAAATTAAGCAATTCATCTCTGACAACACATTGCATCTTTTAAATTGCCTCAAGGACAGTGTAGCATAGCAATCTAGTCTTACCAGTGGATGGACTAGCCTTTTTCCTCTATTTTATGGGCATTTTGCCAATGTCAAGAAACTAAACAGGACTCTGCAGCTTGTTTCTGGCTATAAACTTGCAAAGAGCAGATGACTTGGTGATGTGATACCTGATTGCCTGGGTAGCCTGGAAGCATATGGCCAGATCTGTGCCATTCACACCTTTGATTATTTCATCCAGTGTGAGACTGACCTGCAAGGAGACACATTCAGGTCAGCACTTCTGCCAAAAGGAACCATAGACATCATATAGTCTAACCATCTGTCTGATTAAAAATTTGGCTTGAACAGTTGTACATGTTGGTCTGTATTAGAAGAAAAAAGAACATCTGGTGATCCACAGTTTATAGATCAGAGTGTGACATTTCCCATGCTTTGGGAAGGAGTAATTCATTTTCTAAAATTTATTTTAAAAATGTTTATAATACACATTTGCAGTACATAGTGATTACATTCATCACAGGGAATTGGTACATGTACAGAACACATTTTAATTCTTTTTCATTCCTTTTTTGACCCCCCCCCCTCCATCTCTTGGTAGAGAGAAATAATTCCTACTATCACCAGATTCCCAGTGCCTTTTTATCCCAAGCAGTAAGAACGTGTTAGTGGTTGTCAGGAAGCAGAAAAATAAAGGAAGTAGTGAAGATTTTCAAAATTTACCTGCAATAATAGTGAGAAAACCGACAAGCCCATAGCTAGCAGAAGATCTAAGTTATTAAAAGCAGAAATAAAAGTGAAGAAATTAATAGTGAACTTACGAGGATAAGGGAAATATGAACAAATGTATGCCAACAATTTAATACTCTAGATCAAACAGGTAAATTCCTAAAAATGTACAACAACCAAAAGTAACTAGAAGAAATAGAAAATTTGGATAGACTTATAACAAGTAAAGAGATTGAATTAGTAATAGAAAAAATAAGCCACAAACAGAAGTCTAAAACCAGATACTTTCTGGAGAATTTCTCAAATCCTAAAAATAGATAAACACTATCAAACTTTTGCAAATTCTTCAAAAAGAAATAGAAGAGGAGTGACTTTTCTAACTCATTCTTTGAGGTCAGTATTGCATTAGTAACTGTATTAATCCATTTTCTGTTGCTTTAACAGAATATCCAAGTTTGGATAACTTCTAAAGTAAAGAGATTTATTTAGCTCATGATTCTGGCAGCTAGAAGCTCCAAACATCATGACATTGACATCCTAGCTAGGGATCCTCTGGCAGGACCACAGTATGGCAGAGGAACAGACATGCAGAAGGGGCTAAGTACATAGAGTGGCTTTATTTTATGACAATCTGCTCTTTTGAGAGCTAACCAAGACCCATGATCCAGCAAGAACTTCATTAATCCCTTCTGAGGCTAATGCCCTCAGTGACCTAATAACCTCCCACCATTTTCTACATCTTAGAGTAGTGGTGAACCTATAGCATGCATGGAACAGCGGGCTGTTTGTACCACTGAAAGCTCTAAAAGGTTCACCATCACCGTCTTAGAGGTTCACCATCTCAACACTGCCAAACGCTGGGGACCAAAGTTCCAGCACAAGAACCTTGGAAGAACACACTCAAACAATATCTAAACCATGGCAATACCTAACCCACCAAAAACATTTCAAGGAAAGTACACACCAATATCCCTTATCTCTACCTTCTCGCTACAGATGCAAAGACCTTCCACAAGATACTAGAAAACTAAATGTATCAACATATTAACATGCAGTTAACATACTGTCCACCGTGAGATTTAACCTGGGAATGCAAGAGTGATTCAACATACCACATCAATGTCAGACCGATAGTAGAATAAAGGCAGGAAAAGCCCACATATTCGTCTCAATAAGTTCATTTGACAAAATGAAACACCCTTTTTTCATGAGAAAAGCATTCAACAAACTAGGATTCAAAGGGAATTTCCTCACCTTGGTAAAAAAAATCCCATAACTAGCATTATATTTAATAGTAAAAGAGTGAAAGCCTCCCCTCTAAGATCAGGAATAATTTTAATAATTTTGGAATTCTCACCAAAATTTTAGAGCTAATAAACAAATTCAAGTGTGTTGCTAGGTCAGTGTACCAAAACAAATTGTCAACTGGGTGTGGTGGCACACACCTATAATCCCAGCATTCTGGGAGGTCAAGGATAAAGGATTGCGAATTCCAACATGGCCCTGGCAATTTAGCAAGAAGAGGCTGTTTTAAAATTTAAAAGGGCTGGAGGTGTAGCTTAATAGTACAGTATTTCTGGTTCCAATGGGCAGCAATGAAATAAAACTAAATTAAGTTACATTCTACATCCATTAACTAAGACACTTAACATTATTGACATGGCAATATTCTCCAAATTTCTCTACCAATTCAGTGCAATCATCATCAAAATCCAAAGTGCATTTAGTGAAGAAATTGACTTGTTGATTTCAGAAGTCAAATGTGGTGGCATATGTCTATAATCTAGCACTCTGGTAGGCTGGGGCAAGAGGATTGCAAATTTGAGTTCACTTTAGGCAATTTAGCAGCTAAATGAGACCCTGAGTCAAAATTAAAAACAAAACAAACCTAAACTAAACAAGAACTAAAAAGGTGAGAGACATAACTCAGTGTGAAGGCCCCGAGTTTAATTCCCAATACCCTGCCCCACAAAGTAAAAATAAAATTCACAGGAAAATATAAGAACACAGAAGAGTCAAAACAATATTGGAAAGAACAAAAATGAACAGCTCACAATTCCCAATTTCAAAGCCTACTACATATTTATAGCCATCAATCTCTGTTGTATTGGGGTAAAGAAACAAAGATTGATGAAAGAGAATTGAGAATTCACAAATAAACCCTCACACTTACGATCTATTGATTTTTCTTTTGTTTGTTTTTTGAGATAGAGTCTCACTATGTAGCTCAGATGAGTTCTGACCTTACTGTATAGCCCACCTTGAATATGAGACAATCCTTCTGTCTCAGCCTCCTGAGTGCTAGAGGCTGCACCACCACATCCAGCTCAATTCATTTTTTGACATAACTGCTAAAACCAGTGAAGGGAGAGAGACAATATATTGCCTTTTCAAAAAATGGTGCTAGAGTACATGAATATCCCATGCAAAAGAATGAAGCTAATTTCTTTCCACACCATTTATGAAAATTCACTCAAAATAGATCAAAGTATAAACATAAAAGCTAAAGTTATAAAACTCTAAGGAAGAAACATAAGTGTAAGTCTTTGTATTAGACAGTTGGTCCAATATGCGTTATATAGAAAGAACTCCTAGAACTCAATAAAAAGACAAATCATTTGGTTGGTGTGGGTGGCACAGTCCTCTAATCCCAGCACTCTGGGAAGCTGAGGCAGAAAGACTGCAAGTCCCAGCCTCGCCTACTGAACTTAGGGATTTAGCAAGAAGTTGTCCCAAAAATAAAAAAAGGCTTGAGGATTTAGCTTAGTGTGCAGGCCCTGAGTTCATTCCCCAATACTGTAAAAAATTACTTGATCTATAAAATGGGTGCAGAGTTTGAATTGACATTTTTCCAAAGAAGACATACAAAAAACCCACAAGCACAGAAAAGCATGTGCATTTGTTGTTAGGAAAACATATCAAAATCACAACATATCCTTTTGTGGCCACTAGAGGGCTATAATTTTTTGAGGGCAGTAACAAGTTTGAAGAATGTAAAAGTGTACAACGCTGCAGCCACTTGGGAAGATAGTTTAGCAGCATGTTAGTTTTTTGCTGATGTAAAGATTACCATAACAGTGGCTTAAAACAACATCAACTTCATTTCTTACTGTCTAGATAGCCTCAGAAGTTCAGAAGCAGTTTCACTGGGCTGAAGTCAAGGTGTTACAAAGGCTGGTTCCTCCTAGAGGTCCTGCAAGGAGAATCTATTTCCTTTCCCCTTTGCTTTCCAGCAGGGTCACCTGCTTTCCTGGGTGACTCATCCCTCCATTTTCAGAGCATATCACATCTCTTTCTGCTCCGACTCCTCCTCCATTCTTTTTTTTTTTTTTTTTTTTTTTGTCTTTTTCCTTTTTATTGGTACCGAGGATCGAACTCACAACTGCCTGCTTGCAAGGCAAGTGCTTATGCCACTGAACTAAATCCCCAGCCCCTCCTCCTCCATTCTTATAAGAACCATTGTGGTTACATCAAGCCCACCCACAAGTCAGCAAAAGTCTCCCCATCTCAGAATCCTTAACTTAGTCACATCTGCAAAGTCGCTTTTGTGATACCACAACAGTCCCAGGTTCTGGGGATTAGGAGATAAGAGACATTTAGGGAGATCATTATTCAGCATGCCACAAAGAGTTAAGCATCAAATTAGTTTAAAATTCAATAATCCTACTCATATCCTCCCAAGGAAACTGAAAATGTAGGTCCTGCAAAAACTTGCACACAAATGTCAATGGCCTCATCAATCGTAATAGCCAAAAAGTAGAAACAACCCAACTGTCCCCCAACTAATGAATGGGTAAACATGTAGTCTATCTACACAATAGAATATTATTTAGCAAAAACAGAATAAAGGGTAGATATGTGCTACAACATAAAAGAAACTTGAAAAGTATATGCTGAGTGGAAAGAGCTAAATCATACTACATGACTAATTATATGGAATGCCCAGAATAGGTAAAATCATAGGGACAGAAAGTAGATTAATCTTTGCCAGGGGACACAGAGAATTAGAAATAATGAGTGTGGGGTCTCTATCTGAGGTAATAGATATATGCTGGAATGTGCTAGTGGTGATGGTTGTGCAACCTTATAAATAACGGAAACTACTGATTATATACTTCAAAAGGGTGAATTTAGGGATTTGTAAATTATGTCATAATTTCAAAATACGTTAATATAGGATAAAAGGGAAAATAATTTTTTTCCCATAGCTTTGTTACGCTCCTTTTTTGGTGGGGGAAACCCTAAGGACTACCAGGGAAGTTAAATAGATCTATGGTTCATATCCTTCTGGCAATTCAGAGAATGATTTGCCAAATATTTGTCAGAGACAGTAATGTATCATTAGATCCACTTGACAGAAGTGAACCAATCTTTGTCCTTTGAGAGCCCCCCACACAGCAGGGTGCAAAGGATGCTCATAAACAGTAAAGACAAACAGACAGTGGTGTGTGACGGATGACATATAGATACAACAATATTGAAATTCTAAGAGAGACAACTTCCTGGGCAGGGCATTGAGGATTCACAAAAACAGGACTGGCCTTAAATTTATCCAAGATTTGCATGTAGTGAGGCTGGGGAGGATGGAGGATGAAACACAAAGGAGAACATTCAAATATCAGAAAAGGCTTGTGGAGGGAGTAGGTGCCTCTACTGAGACTAGTCTCTGCAAATTCTCATTTTCTGAATTCCCAGGCTTACGGGTAGTGAGTGAATTTTCAGTTAGAAGTAGTCCTGTCTCCACTCCCATTAGAATTTAGATCTCACAGGCTCACGGCCATGAGACTTTGTAGAGACTCTTAGCTTTCTGAAAAGGGCACTTTGGCTCTATCCATGATCTCTTCACTTCTTCGAGACCTTGATTTAGAATCTGAAAACTCTGAATCTTGAACACTCTCAAGACAGTGTAAAGAGCAAGCAGATACATTTTGCACACAACTTCTCTAAACACCATGTTCTGACATACCTCTTTGTTTATGTTCCCAAAAGCTGGGTCAGGGGAGGGGCAGGTGATATTCCTTCTCTTTAAAGCCTGCTCATCTTTCTTGGCCTTCCGAAGCTCCAGGCTGAGCGCCACCCTCTGTTGTCGCCTTACCTAGTAAGGAAAAGAAACAGTTAGAGAGATTACAGCCAGGTGTCACCCCATGTAGCTTTGGAATGTGTTCCAAAGCGTCTTACTCATTTTTACAGATGCAGTAAAGGGAGAGTTAAGATCACACAATAAATTGTCTCATCTCTATTTACCTCGCCCGCTTTCTCCTACCTTTCTACCTCTAGGAATCAGTTTTCCTCTCCATGTAGAGGATGACCAAGTACATCCTTGATAGGCCAAGATTCTCATCTGTAAGACATCTTAGTAACGCATCTCACCTCCCTGGTTCTGAAAACCCTTTCACTGATGCCGATCAGCTCCCGAAGAGAATGCTTGCTTCCTGGACAAACAAGCTGGAGCCTCCCAATAATGACCAGATCAGTCCTGTTAGGGATCACCCATGGATAGTGTGTGACCAAGCCATTCAAACCATGATCCAGTCTCAGAAGTTTTACTTGCACAATAGACTGAGGGAGATTAACAGTTTTTCTAAGACACTCTTTCTAATATCTGTCATTTACTCAGACTCGATAGTATGAAAATCCTGGAGAAATTCCCTAAATTTCCTGAGGAAATGAGGTTAAACTAAAGACTTTCAAATAGCAATTACAATCATGTGTCACTTACTGATGGAATACATTCTGAGAACTGAATTAGACAATTTTGTCATTGAGTGAACATCACAGAATGTAATTACACAAACTAAAATAGCTCTGACGTCCGTAGGTAGTATAATCTTATGGGAACACCATCATATTTGTGACCCATCATTGATTAAACTATTACTCTGCAGTACATGACTGCAAGAGGAGGTTAATATGTATTAGATACCTCTGGTTACTTATATAAGTTATTTAATTCTTGATTGAAAATAAGGCCATTGAGGTGATACAAGGCAAAGCAGAATATTTGTGAGGCCTATTGAACCAGTCGTACTGTGGCCCTATCACTAAGTAGGCCCTTCCCATGGATAGAGGGTTGTATATCTTTGATTCTCCCTTTTTGTCTGATGGACCTTCCTCCTGCTCCCTGCATAGAGCATTTGATTTCTTTGTTCTAACTGGTGGTTTTAATCTGCAGTGATTTTGGAAGCCAGTCCGTCTTGCTACCATTAAAAGTGATCTGGTTTTGGATGGTGCCCTAACTAGGTTGCTGTGACTATTCACTTCCTTCATCTTCAGCTGCCTTTCAGTTTCTCCAGGTGTAGACAGTCTTGTGAGATGTTTGCCAAGATATCCTGATGTAGGACTCAGAGGTGTAGCCACAAACTATGCAACCAGAGAAGCTGAATGTGAGTTACAGTCTACACATGGTGCAGGCCTCGGCCTCTGTTCCTACACTAACCCAGCAATGAGAACCACCAGGACCTTCTGAGTCCTGCTGCTGCGAGGCATGCTTGTTGGCTGTACCTGTGTGCCAACACTTGAGACCCTTGACAAACACTCCTGGATATGAACAGCCACAGCTCAACCTCTACATACCTGGCTCGAGGGCCACTCTGCAGCCTTTTAGAGGTAGATAGTAGCCCTGTTTTATAAATGAAGCAACTGAAGATCTGAAGTGAAATGGTTTCGAGATGACGTGGAAATGATTTTATTGTCCACTTGGCTGGCTCTTAAGTAAATGCATTTTGTCCTCCATGCTTTCAATATTTCATTATGAAAAATTCAAACATGCATACGCACAAATCAAAAGACTTATTCCTAACTATCCATAGAACTACCTAAATGAATATTTTGCTAGATTTGCCTTATTACCCTCTTATATATCTTTACATCTCCACACTTCTTTTTGCAGGGGGTGGGTAGTGGTACTGGAAATCAAGCCCAGGGGTCCACTCACTGAGCCATACCCCAGACCTTTCTGTATTTTTTATTTTGAGACAGGGTTTCACTAAGTCATTAAGTTGCCTAGGCTGGCTTGCAACTTGAAACCACCCTTTTTTGGATATATATATATATATATATATATATATATATATATTGTACCAGGATTGAACTCACGAACAAGCCAGGCAGGTGCTTGTGCCACTGAGCTAAATCCCTGGCCCTGCCATGTGCTTTTATACCACACTGGTCACTGATCAAATGAGGCGGACTCTTCATACTCACAGATGCATCTTTTCCTCGATACTTAAATTTCTTCAGCCTCTCTTCTGTGGTGTCCATGGCTGGCATGTTAACTAAAGGAAGAAAATCACCTGCAAGGAGGACAGTTATAAAGAGATTTTCGTACTCAGTGTGTGTTAAAATCATTAAGCTCTCACCCTTATAGGGACCATAAGGGATCAGACAGAAGACTCCGGAAGACAGCGGCTGTAGCATCACCATGCCACTTCAGCAGGCCATGAGCACTGTAGGGGATCTGAGGGAACCAGTTCTGGGAGGTAGGAGTTAGGGAAACCTTTAGAAAGCAAGTCAGCTTGAACTTCGTTATTAATGACAAGGTAGGCTGGACAGAAACACAGAAGCCTTTAGTATGTTGGTGTCCAACTGTACGCAGCACATGTGCTACATGGTCAACAGCCAACCAGTCCCAGTGGGAACACGCCCCTTTCTTCCATACTCGGCCCACCAATCATTGGGTCAGAACCATCTCCAGCACGACCAACTGCCAACCCTATGGTCAACCTCCTCCCTGGCCTAGGCCACCCTCACCTTCCACCCACACCACCACAGCCACTTTGTAACTGGCCTCCGTTACTTCTATGGTTGCTTTTTCCTCATCTCTTCTCTACATAGAGGTCATGGGATTCGTTAAAGGAAACAGTCTGATCATGTGACTCCCCTGCTTATCAACACTCTCCTGGTTACCTGCTGAGCTTGGAAGAAAAACTCAAGCTTCCCAAGCTGGCCCCAGCTTACCTCACCAGCAACTCTTTTATTAATCACTGGGCCCAGATGAGGAACAAGCTGGTCCTCCTCCCAAGGGTCTTTGGAGAATTAGTTCCTTTTCATGCAGTCTTAGCTCAAACATAACTGCAGGAAGCCTTTGCTATCTGTGTCAGAGTAGCTTCCCAATTAGTCAGTTTAATTTTGTTATCAGCTTTTACCACCTTATTTTTTTTGCATGTCCACTTTTTCCTCCTACTACCAGTAACAATGATACCATGGATGTCTGAGGTACTGTATTAGTACATATTCTGTTGCTACAACAAAATACCTGAAGCTAGGTAAGTGCTTAATAAAGTAAGGTTTATTTAGTTCAGTTTTAGAGGCAGAAAGTCCAAACAGCACTGCACCCGCTCAGCTTCAGGATCCCACCAGATCTATCCCATCTTGGCCCATAGCATACTGGAGGGATCCTGTGTGAGAAGGGAGATCACATGGCAAGGCAGGGAGTACAATTCACTCTCTCAAGAACTAACTCAGGGTTCCACAAGAACCTTCCAATGACACTTCCAATGACTTGACCATCTTCCACGAGGTCCCTACCTCTTTACCACCTTGACATCACCACAATGGAAACTAAGCTCTCAACACATGAACCTCTGGGGACACATTCAAACCATATCCGAACCACAGTAGACATGACCCCTCAGCTCCCTCACAACCCATGGAATACAACAAGGACTCAAATGTTCCCTAAAGGAGGGTGGTGAATGGCAAGATGGCAAAGGAAGTCAGCTCCCAATTAGAGAAGGTTACATAAGTCAGAGTTTAAGCATTCTGCAATGCAGCTGGGATTCTTATAGATGCACAATGATTATTCATCTTTGTCTGAGCGCACAATGGACCTAGACCACCTTATAGAAAATGGAAAGGTGGAAAGAGGAGACTCCAACAGACTCCAGCCTTGAGTTGGTAATACCCAGGAATAATTTTGGTTGGAAAGAATAACTGAGATGTGTCAATGTGGAAGAGACAGAATATTGGCGCCATGCAGAAGTCCATATGTGAGTTATTAAACCCAGTGTTATTAGAAGAGAGACAAGCTCTATGTGAGATCAGAACAAGGACTGAGTCTTGATAATACACACATTAGGGCTCAAGAGAATGAAGAACCAGTAGAGGACCAGGAGAAGAGTGAGAGTTGAGATAGAGAATGCCAGGTCATAGGCACTATGAGTAACAGTGCCAACCATGCCAAGGACAAGTCCTTACACAGAAGTGCCACCAGCCAGCTACAGTAAGATGACCTGCAGCAGAGTATGTCAGCTGGATCTTGGAACAGAGGTGGCCCAGGAACCCACATCATCTCTCTGGGCTTCAGCATGGTGATCTATTTGCTTTAAAATATTAATCTCTTCAGGAACTTGGATGAGAGCAGCCTAAACTTTATCTGCAACTCTGAGAATGGGAAATTCAGATTACTATCTGGAACAGATTAATGTCTCTGTCTAATCCCTGTCACCTACAAGTTGGAGAGATGGATGTGACACATGGTTCAAACAAAGTTCTCAATCACTTTGTTAGTCATGTTGGCTACTGCTTCCCTCTCTGCTGATATGCACAAAGGAGCCTCAGTAATATCCAGGGTCCTTCGTTACTATATTTACCAGGAGTGCTTCCTAGAAGTTGGCCTAAGACAATCTCAGACTTTCAATTTATTTAAAGTTCAAGCCCTGCTCTCAGAACACATCAGATCTTGGCACTTGAAGAAAGGGAGAGAAGTCAACTTGCAAGACAACCTCAATACTAGGAGGTCAGATAAAGAAATTAATGAAAGCCAATTCTTCCATTTATCTTTAATTTCAAATTCTTCCCTATAAAGAAAAGTCTGGGGGCTGGGGATTTAGCTCAGCCGCATAAGTGCCTGCCTTGCAAGCAGGCAGTTGTGAGTTGGATCCCCGGTACTGATAAAAAGGAAAAAGACAAAAAAAAAAAAAAAAAAAAAGGAAAGGCTGCTTTACATGGCAAAAAGCATTTCTGTAGATTATGGTATCCTTTAAAATGCCATCCCCAGAACTAGTTTTCCAGTTGCTATAACAACTAGGATCAAGAGGATCATCAGTTAGAATCACATTCAGGTTCAAATGACAATCTATCTCCTAGATCTCTAATAATTAAAACGTACAATATTTTAGAAATTTAAAATAGAGTTAGGAGCCTATTTTGGAGAGCAATGGCCAAGACGTATTTATCCTGTGCCAAGAACATTGGATTTAGGGTGAAATGAGGCAGCATCAGCACTAAGGATGGAGAAGCCATCTCATGTCACCTCCCAAAGTGGCCACAGCTGCTAAGTATCAGAGCCAGGATTTCCACGGAGACATAACATCCATCTTTTGATCACTAAACCTGGCAGCCAATAATCTGTAACAAATCTGTAACAAGGTCTGATTAGGAAGCAGGAGGTCACTATGTGGATGGCACTTGACACGGCGGGGAGAGCTGTTGGAAGACAGGGAAAGTGAAAAAGGAGAAAACAGGGGAAGTGCCTGTTTTAAAGCAATGGGGATAGTGCAGTCACTTGGGTTTCTGCTATGTGCTGCCACCTCGTAGCTACGTTTTACCCATTTGGTCAGTTAGAACCCCGAATGTGCACAAGGAAGAGGCTAGTTGAATACAGAGAAAGTCTGCTGTTTCTGGGGAGACCCAGGGTGGCACCTGGATCCAGAACCATTGCCAAGGAGGCACTCATCTCCCTGCCACCTCCTAGAGAGCTTGGCTGAATCGAGCCTTGGCAGTAGTTCCAGGGGCTCAGATATTTGCCACATTCCTGCAAACCACATTGTTGAGATGAAGCAGAGAAATCTCATCTTCAGATCCGAGAGGGTCTCCTCCTCCTTGCCTGGAATATCTCTGAGTAGCTGTTTGAAAGTCACAGATTTAGACAGATCACTTCCTATAGAGACATTCTGCAAAAACCAGCTGCCAAGTCAATCCTAGCTTTCACAAGCTTCTCTAGTCACAGCTCAAAATGCAATTCCTTTCCCTAGTGTTGTATTTCTAGCAGCCAGGAGAGCTAGCTGTCCTGCCATTCCTACCAGCATTGAGAGAGAGAGCCGAGTTAGAGGCTTCAAGTTATGCACAAAATAAATCGGCACCAAGTTATACACAAAATAAATCAATTCTCCAACATTTGAGATCCATAGAAAGCTACAAAGCCACCTAACTAGGGACTATTTCTATCCACCATCCCAAACTTTGCTCTGCTGCTACCCAACTCTGGGAGACCTGTGGCAGAGGACCAGCAAAAAGAGCTTGGCCATAGTCAAGGTTGCTCTTGTTCCCAAGGGTCTCTTGTACTTTCCGTCCTTTTGGGAAAGAGGGCACTGGGGACGTCTAAGTCTTTTCAATGACACTGAGTTACTTTTCCTAGTTTGGGCATTTCAGAGCATTTTTGTTTTTTCTACACTGTCCTATATCTAGCTGAGCTTTCCTGTGAACATCTTTCATGAACCAAGTACCATTTTAGATTAAAATGTGTCTCATCATTCAGGAGTTGGTGTCTACACAGTGGGGGTTTTTTTTTTTTTTTTGAGATTTTAAAGCATACTTGAACTTACATAAACATATATAAACTTAAAGCATGGTTTATAAAATGCACATACAATGCTCTTTGACTTATAATGGGATCATATCTGAATAAACCATGAGCTGAAAATATTACAAGCCAAAAATATATTTAATATGCTTATCAAATATCAGAATTCAGCCTAGCCTACTTTGATGTGCTCTAAATACTTACATAAGCCTGCAGTTGGGCAAAATCACTGAAAATGAAACCTATTTTATTATGAAGCATTGAATATCTCTTGTACTTCCTTTTATAAGCTTAAACCACACATTGGTGATAGTGCATACCTGTAATACCAGCACTCTGGGAGGCTGAGACAGGATTGGAAAGCTTGAGCCCTGCTTGGGAAAACTTAGCAATTTAGTGAAACCCTATCCCAAAATAAAAAATAAAAAGGGCTGTGGATATAGCTCAGGGCAAAGGCCCTGGGTTCAATCCCTAATACTGAAATAAAACAAAACCACCCACCACCACCAACAAAAAAGCCCCTCCCCCACTATGGGGTCGGAAGAGTGAAACCTAGTTCCCAGGAAGAAGAGTTTGAGGGTTCCCAATGCCCAAAATGTGCCTCAGTCCACAAGTTGGTGCTAGTGGAGGCTGAGGCAACCCAGGGACAGGTAAGGGGCTCTACCACTGTGGATGAGATGCTCTCTGCATTCCAGACACCAGGTTCTATGCTGGCAAACACAGGCAGGGCCTCTTTGGGGGCTCCTCAGAGGGGAAGCAGGTACCAGTGAGGAAGGAGGCAAGAAGCCAGACCCTCTCCCTGGGTAATGAAGCCCCCAAGCTGTGGGAGGGTCTCTTAGTGGGGCTGAGGCAGGTAGACAGTTCCCACAGGTGAGGGTCCTGAGGATACTTTATTGTGAGGGAACACAAGCTAGCCTCCCAGGTGTGGAATCTGCTGCCTGATGCAGGACAGACTCACTCCAGGGACCCTAGGAGGCCACATCTGAGTACGCAGACACCCAGCGACAGCCTCTTTCTGAAAACAAGCCAAAGGCATTTGTGTCTCTAGGTCAAGGCTAATTTCAAAAAGGAGCTGACTCATGTCCGTAACACCAGCACTCCAGAAACCTAAGGCAGGAGATCTCAAGTTTGAGCCTGGTCTCAACAACTTAGCAAGACTGTCAAAAAAAAAAAAAGAGGGGCAGAGTTGCAGATGTAGCTCAGTGTGACTGTCCTGGGTTCATTCCTCAGTACCACAAAACAAAAACAGCGAGAGTCAGCAGCCTACTTTGGGTTGAGCTGCCTGGCCGAAGGGAGGGCCCTGCAAGTTACCTCTATTGCTCTGGGCAAAAGGACAGCAGCCCACTTGGAGGCCCCAGACAGCTGCCCGGCTCACTACCCAAAGTGGTTGGTCAAACAGTACCCAGACAGAAGGGCTCAGAGAGTCACTGCAGGAGCCCCAAACACACACACACCCCGACAGACAGGCTACCATGCACTTGTCACTCACCTGGCAGAGAGCTGTGGCCTCCAGCTCCTAGGTTGACCTTAAATGCACTCAGCAGACAGCAGGTGTTGCTTGGCACTTAGTATTTCCCCCTATAAGTGGTTTTCATGGAAGTCAATGGTTCTCAGGCCTAGAAACACATTGGAATCACTTGGGGAACTTTGAACACCAGAGTCACCTGATCTCAAGGGCTAATAAGTTGGTTGGGGTGTGAGGCCCAGGTCCCCAAATGATTCTCATGTCCAAGTGCGTACCTTGAGGGGCTGGGGATTTAGCTTAGCAGCATAAGCGCCTGCCTCGCGAGCAGGCAGTCGTGAGTTCGATCCCCGGTACCAATAAAAAAGAAAAAGACAAAAACCAAGTGCGTACCTTGGAGGCACCTGGGACTTCAGCCTCTGCAGCTGTACCCTGTGAGACCGCTAGGTAAACTATGAGGGAGTGGACATCTCTCCCTAGCAAAGGGTTTGCATCCTCGGCGTCCTGGGCTCCCAAGATCTGGCTTGGTTGAGTGGCCTTTGCCCTAAAACTAGATATCAGACTTCAAACTGCCACTGCACAGTTAATAAGCTCTGACTTTCAAGACATGCAAGGAAATTGAGTAGTGAGAGAACAAATTTTCTTCACAGAAAAATGGAAATAACAAAATCGCAGGCGCAAAGCCAAGAAGTATTTACTGGCTCTTTCGTGCATCAGGTTCTGACAATGGAACAGCAAACAAATGACTTGGTCCCTACCCTTCCAGATGGGAGTGTAGATGGACCCTTCTGGCCACGAGGAGGCAGGACACTAGCTAAGACAACAAGGGGCAGGGAGGTCAGGGAGAGCTTTCTGGGAGAAAGGGTACTGGGACCAAGAAAAGGCACAGATTCAAAAGAAAAAGAAAAGAAACATTAAAAAAATAGGGGCTGGGGATTTAGCTCAGCGGCATAAGCGCCTGCCTTGCAAGCAGGCAGTCGTGAGTTCGATCCCTGGTACCGAAAAAGACAAAAAAAAAAAAAAAAAAAAAAAAAGAAAGAAAGAAAGAAACATTAAGAAAAAGCACAAATTCATGGGTGAAAAACTCAGATGCTCTGGACAGAGGGAACCACATGGGAAAAGGCACTGAGGCTGTGAAAAGGGCCGCGGCTTCCCTGGGAGCCAAGAGGGTGTTCAGTGTGTCATCAGGCCTAGGGTAAACACGCTGGGACAGCATCAGTAGAGGAGGAGTTGGGGGCCCCTACACTGGTCCAGGAAGTAAGGGGTTGTTCTGTTCATAGGCTACTTTCAATCAATAATAGAATCAACTAAATTTTTTTTGAGACAGGGTCTCACTATGCAGTTCAGGCTGGCCTTGAGCTCACTTTGTAGCCCAAGCTGGTCTCGAACTCACAGCAATCCCTCCTGCCTCAGCCTCCCAAGTGCTGGGACTACAGGTGTGAGCCACCACACCCGGCTTTAAAACCAACTAAATTTTGTTTAGGGTTTTGTTTAGTTTTGTAGGTCTCCCCATCTTACTAGGAATGAATCCGGGGCTTCATACTGAACTACATCCCCAGTTTTACTTAGTTTTTTTTTTTTTTTCTACTTAGTTTTTTACTTTGAGACAGGGTCTCATTAAGCTGTTCAAGCTGGGCTTGAATTTGCTGCAGTCCTCCTGCCTCAACCTATCAGCGTCCTGAGATTACAAGTATACATTACCACTCTTTTTGTTGACGTTGTAATCCAGGAATTTTGAACAATACTAGTGGGCTGTAAGGCAGGCAACACATGCCCTATCACATTACAAATTCTCTGAAAGTATTTTACCTTTACCAAGATCTTCTATTTGTGTGTGTGTGTGTGTGTGTCTGTGTGTGTGTGTGTGTGTGTTTTTAATTATGGAAGGTTCCAAACCCATAAAGGTAGAGAGACCAGGACCAGTGGCTCCTCATATGCCTATCACACAAACTCAACATTGAGCAACAGAGAGCTGGCCTTATTTCTCCTCTCCTTTCTTCACTCTTAAAATTTTGTGTTTATGAATTGTTGAGGGTGGCCAGGCATGGAGGTGCGTGCCTATAATTCCAGAATTTGGGAGACTGATGCAGGAGGATTGTTATAAGTGTGAGGCCAGCCTCAAGTGAACTCAAGGCCAGCCTGGACAACACGGTGAGAGCCTGGCTCAAAAAACACTTTGGGGGGTGTATTTTATAAGAAATAGATATGTTATCACTTCAACCATAAATATTTCAGAATGAATCTTTAACAGAGAAGGGTTTGTTTTGTTTGTTTGTTTGAGATAGTCTTGCTACATAGTTCAGGCTGGTCTGGAACTCACTGTGTAGCCCAAGCTGGTTTTGAATTTGTGGAGATTCTCCTACTTCAGCCTCCCAGGTGCTGGGATTACAGCCATGTGCCACCATGTCTGGCCCCAGATGAAAACTTCAAAAACTATAAAACTAAAGCATGTACAGGAACCCAATGTCCTCAATGAATGTAAGTATTATATGTCATAAACGTGAACTAAGATTGCTAATTTTAACATGAATGAAAATAGGAAAAGGGGAAATAAATGAAGAAGGAAGTAAAGGACAGGGAAGGGAATTAAAATAAAAAAGAAACAAGTTGTATTATGTCCATATACACACTCCCCAAGATGATCCTAAATTGCGTGTACTGCAAACATGTACTAGTAAAAAAAAAAAAAACAACACCAAAATACAATTATCATACCTACCAAAATCAGCAGTCATTTTTTATACAGACCTTCCCCAATGCAAAAATGATATGAATTCAGCAAAAGCTGTACTTTGAATTTTGATCTTTTCCCCAACATGCCATAGGACCCGTAGCACTGGTCAGCCTCTCCTTCACAAGGGGAACCATTCAACATTCCACAAATGTGTTGTATTTGCTAAGCTAGAAAATGTGGCGGTAAGGGTATATTAAATGCTTTTTCAACTTACAATATTTCTCACTTACAATGGATTAATTTGGACGTAACCACACTGCAAGATGAGGAGTGTCTACCTATCCTTGTAGAATATCCAATCTAACCTTTTGGAAGTAAAAGGAGTATTTCCAAGGTCAGGCTGGAGGAAGGTCAATCAGGAGGTGGTTGGAATTTGGGGATGAGAGATCTTGATCGTTGGAAGGGGTCCAGACAGTGAGTGATGGAGGAGTCCGACCTTAGGACACTTTGGTTTCAGCGGGAGAGGGGCACGGGGAACCTGGACTCTGAGTGATGCTGTGTTCATGCTCAGGTGCCTCACACTCAGGTGTTTGAGGACACAGAGGTGGGAATTTGGTCCATAGCTGGACTCAGTGACCCACTGGAAGTAGAGGGTGACAAGGACAGGGATGCTAAAATCGACTGTGGTTTCAAGACGAGGTGGCAGGTGAGTGCCAAAATCACAAAGAAGGTTTGGGCAGAACTAACCAAGTGTCCTAGTCACTTTTCCATCTCTGGGACAAAATACCCAATACCCACTACCTCAGTGAGGAGAGCTTTATTTTGGCTCAGTCTTTGGAGGATTTAGTCCATGGCCAGCTGGCTGCAAGGCAGACCAGGCGTGGTAGAAGAGACTGGAGGAGGACAGCTGCTCCACGCGAGATCAGGGAACAGAGAGAGAAGGGAGGAGCTGGGCCAGGAACACACTCTTCCAGGCAGGGCACCAGTGGCCACCTCCAGCCAGGCCCCACCTCCTAACAGAGCATTCAGCTGTGAACTCATCAATGGCTGAATCTACTAAGGCGTACAGTACCCCCATGATCCAGTCACTGTTTACACATGTGACAATCTGGGAGGGCATTTGAGATCTAAACCATAGTAAAAGCTTGCCCCTGATAGGATTAGCCCTGGAAGAGTCTGAAAAGATGCCCCCATTCTGTCCACAGCATCTAACACAATCCCTCTCTTCCCATCGCCTCCAGCAACTTGGATCTGAGGGCATCTCTCTCCCCTCCTAACAGCCATCCTTGCTGAGCAGATGCCCCTTCAGACTGTTTCCCACTCCCAAAAGAAGGATTTTGCAGCCATTTAAGTCAAATTGTATACTTTTGCTATTGTTCGTCCACTCCAGTACTCCCAGTGTCCAGAAAACCCCCATCAGGCCACTGATGCTCTACCCCCCATTCTGTTCCTTATGACCTTATTTTCCAATACACTGCCCCTCAATCCCATTAGCCCCATGCCTACCACAGGGCCCTTGCACTTGCTATAGCCTGTGCCCAGCACAGTCTTCCTCCCCCCACTTCCTCCAGAGCTCATATCAAATTTCCATCATGTTGAAAACTTTCCTTGCATCAAACCACACGTTATCCAAACTGCATCCCCCTCTGACTGACTGTTCTATTTTTCTCCTTGGCTTCACTTATTACTATTTGAAATACCAAACATTTACTTCCTTATAGACTTTCCACATCCTGTACTAAAATGTAAGCTCCACAAGGGGAGGGGTGCTGTCTGTTTTGCTGATGCTTTTATTGCCTCAGGCAGGAAGTCACCATTCCTTATGTAAGTGTGCACGCTGGCCCAACGCCAGGCTCTCCTTCCACACCGAACTGTGTGATGGCGGCTGAGGACCAGCTGCAGCTCCCTCTACCATCCACGCTGTACCAGGCTGTATGGTGGGCAGCACTTTGGATCTCCCCCAAGCCAAGCATCGAGCCCGGGTCCTTTGAGCAAATCCGATCAGCCAAACACAAGAGTAGCTCCCTGAAGGTCTCAGAAAAGCAGGAGGGAAGGATCTTTTGCAATCAGAGTAATCAGATGGGATCCCCTGCTTTGTCTCCTCAGGCCTCCCAGCCTCTGTTTTGGCTGATGTCGGGGGCCCACTGCCCACTGGTCTGAAGACACTTCAGCTCCAACAAATTCTTAAATTACGTCTTGCAGAATGAATTATCTAGATGGGTTATTTAGCCAAAGCTGGCTCACCTGGTGCTATAGAAATTGCCAATCCACTTGACAGAGCAGGACCAAGGCTGTGGACCTCAGTGTGAGTCGCCCAAGGTCGCACGGTGGAGGAAGGTCCGAGCTGTGCAGCCGTTCTTCCCCGATGCTGTGTGTCTGGTGCCAGGGTTGTGCCTAACTGCCCTACACTCCTTTGTATTTTTTTATTTTCTGAGATAGGGTCTCACTATGTCGCCCAGGCTTGCCTCAAACTCACT